GCCGAGGCAGCGGTAAAGTCCGTAAAATACCTCATCCTCAAAACAGCACCGACGGGGAACCTGGACTGCGAGGAGTTCGACAGGGGCCTACTGGAACTCCGCAACACCCCTACCCCTGCCGGACGCTCTCCTGCCCAGGTGTTGTATGGCCGCCCCCTTCGTACTTGTGTGCCTGCCCACCCCCAGTCCTTCTTAGATGAATGGCAGATCAAGGCGGACGAGTGTGACCGCCGTGAGGCTGCCCGGATGGCCCAAGTGACAAGCCACTATGACGCCCAAGCCCGCCCCCTTCCCAGGTTGGCCGTCGGCCAGCAAGTACGAATCCAGGACCCGACGTCACACCGCTGGGACAAGGTCGGGGTCGTCATGGGCCGTGGCGAGTCTCGTTCGTACCAAGTCCGCCTCCCCAGTGGTCGTGTGTGGTGGCGAAACAGACGCCATCTCCGCCCAGTGCCATCCTCTAGTACCGAACCTTCCTCCCCGTCCCCTGTGTCCCCTTGCCCAGACCAGGAACGAAGGTCGTCAGTTGATCCTCCCATTGTCCCTCGCCGCTCCCCCCGACTCATGGAAAAAGAGTCCGTAGCCGCTTGAGATTGCACTACGAGCGTAAAGGGGGAGGGAGGTGTATAGATGTGTGGGTACCAAGATACGTGAACACGCCTGACGGCAGGACTCTGTTACCATTCATTGTACCATTTATTCACATGTCTGTATAACTACATATTATTATAGCATGTCTGATATCTATGCTTATGTCTAATGCCTATGTTCACTTACTATGTCCCGATATACTATGTCTGTATCGCGCTAGTCGAGTAATTAGAAGACCCCATTTATTGTCCAAATAATGTCTAGCAACTTCCCTTGCCTAGCCAGCTAACTTCCCTCAGATCGGCTTCGGCCTGCCTACGACGAGGAGTTCCTTGTGCTGGCTCCTGTTCCTGTACCGGTTGGTTATCCTGCCAAGTCTTGTACACTTATTGAATATATCTACTGCTCGTGCTATTGGAGTTTGAAGAACCTTGTCTAGGATTTCATCACACCACAGTAGGCAGCTACCAAACAGGGAGGTACTACCTCCTGAGAAGATATTGAAACCATAATGTGTTGTCTAATGGTAAACCCAGCTGCCATATAGCATCACAAAAATTGTTTCAATGTATCAGGTTGCTATCTGACTTTCTGCCTCATTTACACACACAATTGCAGGGTCTCACTATTGTTTCCCTTACAGAACTTTAAAAACACAACATATAATTTTTTTTTCACTCTTGACCTGTTTTATATTGTAATTTTTTTTTATTCTCCTATTATATCATATGACAATACTATTGAATCGGGCCTTCTCAGATGGGTCCCACTGGTCAGGATGGTTATGGACCACAGGGCAGAACTGACTATCATCAAACTACAGGGGCCTCAACTGACGTCACCGCGATTGCTGGAGGATCGGCTTTTTTCACACTTCATTTTTCCAACATTCGCGTTTTGAAATCCAATTTTTCTTCTGTGGAGCACCATCTAATAACCCTTTCCCCCAATCTCTTACTAATATCTTTACTTCAGTTGACCTAAGCAGCTTCACCCAAACCTTTTCAAGTCTTCAACTACAACTTTTATACCTTTTTCCGTCCTAAGGAAGGTGTCTGCGCCTACTGCAACACACGGACGCCTATAGCTCGACTCACGGATTTTGAATCTTCTCTTTATGTCATCTGGCTCAAAATATCTCTACTAACTATGAATATTTTCCTTTGTTTCCTATACTGTTCTCCCAACTATTTCGAACTGTTTGACTATCTCACTTCTTGCCATGAGTCATTGCTATCCACACACCAACACCGAAATCCTCTACCTAGGGAATTTCAATGTACATTACATTTAATGATCTGAAACAAATAATCAAACACCCTACACATGTTCTACATCGACACACTCAATTTGCAGACATTCTTGATTTTTGTTTTACGTCTATCCCCTCACACTATTCAACTTAATTTCCGGGGCACAACCACCTCCCCCACTCCTCTCTAAGCGCCAACTATGGCACTATCGGAGGGTACACTGGCAATCCTTGCGAGAAATTTTCTCCGACTTTCCCTGGGATGGGTGTTGCTTTTTCACTCGGGACGCCTCGTTATGTCCTGACTGCATTGCTGGGTGGTATGAGTGCATTAATCCCATGTTCTACCAAAACTTTCACTTTACAATCATGGTTTGAGTGCTCTTGTTCTCTTGCATGTATGGAGAGAGATGCGGCATATCAAGCTATGAAACTATTTCCTGTTACTCACTCCTCTTTCATTACTTCTAGGAATCGTAGGGCGAAGCGGAATTTAAAAAACAAGAAAAAGTCCGCAGACCTAACTAACTCTACTTCTAATAAATCCTTCTGCACTACGTCTATTCCTTTTCTTTTCCGAACTGATATCGGTGCCAACTCTCCCTCTGATAAAGTCAATCTCTTTGGGACCTTTTTCTCCTCTAACTCTATCTTAGACGATTCCAGCTCTACCACATCCACTCCTGCTCCTCCTTCTGAACCCATGCACTTTCCTATAATCTCAAATCGTAGGATTGCTGGTGTGTTATCCAACCTGGATGTAAGGCGCATGAACCAGACGGAATACACCCTCGTGTTCTGAAGGAGTGTACTGACCCCTGTGCTTGCTCGACTCTTTCGTCTTTGCCTCAAAACCCAAACTTTTCCTTCTTCTTAGAATCATGCCTCGGTTCAGCTCATCTCGAAGAAATGTGTCCGTTCTAATCCCTCTAACTATCGCCCAATTGCCTTAACTTCAATCCTCTCTAATATTTTCGAAACTATCTTAAACTCTAATTTTCTCCGTCACCTTCAATGCCTTTCTCATTTGTCGGATCACCAGTATAGGTTTCGCCAGGCGAGATCTACTGGTGATCTGCTTTCCTACTGCACCCCTATTTGGTCATCCCCTATTCGGGATTATGGGAAAACTTTCGTCGTGGCAGTTGTTTTCGAGGAATCGATCTCTCGCTCTTTCTCTACCAATAGTGGTGTTCCACACGGGTCTGTTCTTTCACCTACTAATTCTATTCTACTCTTCATTCTTCCTCTCACATGTTCCTTCCCCCTAACTCTCAAACTATATTTGTTTTTAGAGCTAAAATCGTTTAATTTTACCAAATTTTAAAATAGATATGCTAGGCCTCACCATTTCATCTAATATATCATGGAAGCCACACATCCACAACATTGTTACAGTAAAGTTGCCTCCCGAAAGCTGGGAATGCTGTACGGATGCGGTAGCTACTTCACTCCTGAGCAGCTGCTTCAAGTTTACAAGGGTTTCATTCGTCCTAACTTGGAGTACTGTTTTCATATCTGGGGTGGTTCTTCTTCTGTCCAACTGTTAGATAGGGTGGAATCAAAGGCATTTCGTCTTATTAACTCTCCTACTTTAGTTGATAATCTCTCTTCCTTTTCTCTTCGCCGCAATTTTGCTTCACTCTCTCTCTCTCTTACAGATACTTTAACGGGCAATGTTCAGTGGAGTTGGCATCCTGTGTACCGTTGGCAAGGCAATGGGCCCGTAACACTCGTCCTGCCCGCGGTGCCCACCGTTTCTGTGTGGATGTCGGTCACGCTAGAATAACCCGTTATAGTACATCCTTCTTTCCTCACACATCCAAACTGTTGAATGCTCTGTCTTCTTCTGTGTTTCCTTACTCTTACAATCTGTCTCACTTTAAAAAGCTGATTTTCCGGCATCTTCGTGGTGTAGATAAATATATTTTTTTCTTTTAATTTTTTATTTATTTTTACTCTTTTTTTTTCGCACCCCCCCCCCGTCTCCCCAGGCCCCGTTGTGGGTCGATAACCTGTGTCCGGGTGGCGTGATTTTTTTTCCTGAGGGCTTCCATCATTTTGAACAAGCGGCACCATCACAGTGTTTGAAGCGCGGCACCACTGTACACTCTGTAAGAAAGAGAGAATAAGAGATGATCATTCATGCTTGGCTTAATATTGATGTAATAGATACTAATACAAACAAATAATAACCTAACCTAACCTAACCTAACCTAACTTAACCTAACCTAACTTAACCTAACCTAACTTAACCTAACCTAACTTAACCTAACCTAACTTAACCTAACCTAACTTAGCCAACACGGCCAAGATAGAACGAATTATTGCTGCCACCAGTTGACTGTACAGTGGTGCCGCGCTTCAAATACTGCGACGGTGCCGCTTGTTCAAATGACAGAAGCCCTGAGGAAAAAAAAAATTCGCGCCCGGGTGGGATATTCCCAGAAAAAAAAAATATAAGATTGGATGGAAATCAGTTGATAAACAAACACAAATATTGTAGTTCCTAAGACAAGACAAGTGACGTTCGACTTTGTTCTTGCAGTGACACTTTGGCAGGAAAAACAATAATTTGCAACAATCATCTTATTAAGTGTATCCCTCACCTTCTATCTATCATTGAGTAATTAAGAAAGATAATTTACATGGCTGAGTTATATAAGGGATATGTTATCAATTATTTTTTGGTGCACTTAAAGCTGTCATATGAATTGGAATAGTGGCAAAGATTCATATATGTGTATTATGTTTAGGTTTATTATGAGGCTTTGGTGGTGTTTATTATGAGGCTTTGGTGGTGTTTATTATGAGGCTTTGGTGGTGTTTATTATGAGGCTTTGGTGGTGTTTATTATGAGGCTTTGGTGGTGTTTATTATGAGGCTTTGGTGGTGTTTATTATGAGGCTTTGGTGGTGTTTATTATGAGGCTTTGGTGGTGTTTATTATGAGGCTTTGGTGGTGTTTATTATGAGGCTTTGGTGGTGTTTATTATGAGGCTTTGGTGGTGTTTATTACGAGGCTTTTATGATTTTTATTATGAGGTCTTGTTTGTATATATTATGAGGCCTTGATATGGCGTTTGCTGTGAGGCTATGCACGTGTTTAAAGTGAGGCTGTGATAGTCCCAGTACAAACATAATTGGTTCACCTTCAGGAGAATTATGTGATCTTACTGAGTGAAATACACGACGCGCTACACGCCGAGGGGATGATCCTGACAGCTGCCGTATCATCAGCCAAAGACAAAATTGATTCTGGTTATGACGTGCCGGGGATAGCCATGTACGTAGACCTGTTGAACCTCATGACCTACGACCTGCACGGTTCTTGGAATGACTACGTTCACCACCAGTCAGGGCTCTACCCCTACTATAAGGACACCGGCGGTAACAAAGACCTCAACGTTGTAAGTATATTATTACTTCTCTTGTGGAATTGTACTGTCAGGAGTGGCGCTTATTATGATGGAGTATGTATGATATACCGCTAAGTCAGTATCATTTTGTGTGGCGAATATTTATATAAAGAATTACTATTGTTACTAATAATTTTCAGTTGAAAATAATAATAATAAGAAGAAGAAAAAAAGAAGAAGAAGAAGAAGTGTGTGCGTGTGTATGTGTGTAACTGATGAGGATTTTTACTGGTGTTGATTAATGCAGTAGAAGGGCCCCTCAGAATGCCAAAACAGCACAAACAAAATAAATATATTTACCTGAGTTAATTACCGTGACCTGGACTGGTGTTCCTGAGGTTGGGGTTCAAGAGATGCACAGGTAATGGACACTTGTATTAATCATCAGTAACATCCTTACAGCACTAGAAAGTTATTAATTACATAGGGCAATAGTTCATTTGAATTAATCCCTCAACTCATCTTACATCGCTAGTTACCAATATTATCAGTGTAGGGAATATGACACCGGTCCCAATGTGAGTTCTTAATGACCCAATAATCACCCAAGACTCATGTACGTCCCTGTTTGGACCGTGAGTTACAACAAAATGGGTGACATGACCGCCCCAGTTCAAGAATTGATGAGGTCAAGGATCGCGCCTCCCCGAGTTTAAGCCCACAACCTGTGATGGATCCTAAACCTCAGCAGTCCCTGAGCAAATATATTCATAAAATAGTATACTGGTCTGAAACCCCACAAAACAATCATCAAATGCCATAACGACCTGATATCATGACTTGTCAGGGGTGGAGAGGGGGGGGGGGTCGGGTCACCAACTGATTCTTTGTACTTTATTCCTGAGTTCATAAGTTATGCGTGCTTCCTCCGCCATACCTGTAACCGTGTTCAATGAAACTGGCCCAGAATACACCATTACAATAAAATTACACCACATGCATAGCACCGAAACAATCCTTTATCACCCCCACGTCCAGAGCGTAAGATCAACCATTAGGGTCGTCGACCTCACACCAGGACTTGGTTAAACAAACCACATGCAGTACACCCAAAGTTGAAGAGAATGGAAGGCACCTAGTAAAAATATCAGCACTAATACTCAGCAGGCATACAATAGTTTTCGACTCACCAGCACCATGGAAATTCCTGTCTCCCATAGCCCATCAATATTTCCATTCACTCAGGCTGCATCCAGGGGCAGGTTTTTCTCTCGTTTACTGTATGTGAGAGGGAGAGCAACAGAGGTAATCCTGCCCAGTTATGTCAGGTCACCGTACAACTTCGTGTACTTGACCCCAGTCAGAGAGAGATTAAGTTTCCCCCCTCATTCTACTCAGTTGTTCCCCATACACTGTATACACTCCTTAGCTGTGGTGTATTGTAGTGTGCGGCTTTACGCAAATCTCAGCGGTTTCCTAAATTCGTGCGTGGCACACATCCATATCCTGAGGAATCCGGGTAAAAACAGGTCGCCCGCATGGATGCGTGCTTCCTTGTCGGACCCCATGAATCACGTCCGATAATAACAGCCGCTAGCATCCAAGCCGTGGTCCTGTCAAGCAGTCACAACCAAGTCGGTTCCACTAAGACCTGGAATAATCCACCGATTTACCACTGTGGTTTTCTTTCTCCATCCTATCTAGACACTGTACTGTACTCTATGCAATTGAACGGAACTTACTTGTGAATATAGTTGACATCGCCCACAAATATTGTGGCCACGTGGGGCGTTGTATCCAGCACAGTGTCAGTGCATCTCCCTTCCACCAACGATAGACAGCTTGTGCATGCCCACTCCAAGCACTGCAGCGTCCTCAGCCTACACGTAATTTTTCCCGGGAACTACTTAACTATTCCTGCATAAATCTTAAATTGTCCCTTGATTTTCCTTTATTTATTTTCTGGAAAGATTAGCACTATTTTAGTATTTATTTACGTTTTTAATTCAAGACATGAATGTCCCCCACGGTTTTCCAGTAATTATTTTAATTATTTGTGAAGCGCAATACGTCATTCTTCACATATATTAGTTATTTACTACGGACACAAGTAATTTATTATTTTCAAATGGCAAATTATCCAAGAAACTTTTGTTTATATTATAACTGGCTTTTAACTTCGTCAGCAGTGTATGAATTAATTTAAAAAAATACATTTCTTAGGCCTTGTGGCGCCAGCTGGTTACTTAGTTCCCGACTTTCCCGCTTGGTGCTTGGTGCGCTGCGCACAAAGGCTTTGTACAGCATAGGGCTGACCACGCCGCTTGGCATGGGAAGTATTCACGTCTGTCGTTCCACTGCTTGTTAAATCAGTAATTTTCGTTCTAAGATTTCAGAATACCACACTGGACCTTTAAAACAGACAGCACTTTTTCATGTGCTGTGAGAGAAAAATAGGCAAACAACTCCCCCAGATGAGTCCCGCAACATCCCGATGATAGCATAGTTGTCCTCCACCCCCTGGCAGCTCTGGTTGATGCTAGCCTCTTTAACAGATGACATGGGTGCGTATAATCCATGTATATGCTGATAACCCCATAGGAAAAAATAAAACACTAAGTTCGCTAGTGCTTTCGTGTATTTCACATCTTCGGGGGTGAGTAGAGACTAAGGATTAGTTACTGACAAGGCTAATATATACAGTAAAGGAGAATGAGATCAAGTCCCCAGGGACAGCAAGGTGTCAACCATATCCAGTCCTTATTATCTCTCATATGAATTAACAAAGCATTGGTTTCCTGGACTGTCCTGACATTATATCTATGATGTTTAAGTCTAGTTATGAGAACTTTGCCCGTTTGACCAAAGTAGAACATATTACTTTCCTTGCAAGGAACCTTGTAAATGCAACCACCTGCATTGCATGGGAGTTCTTAATTAACATTTGTTTTACAGTGCATGAGTTACTAAATGTTGCATTTACGTTCCAGGTTTACAGTTGTAGAGGAATTTGAGAGAAATTTTCGTTAAATGGTAATAATAAGAGATTGTTACTGTCAGGGGATGGTTTCGGATCAGTTCTTCAAAAAGATTTCTTAGCGATGTTAAGGCATTTGTTTATAAACGAACTAGGGTATTTTAAGTCCAGTCCAATCTTAGAGATATATTCAAATTCTTCATTAATGTTTTCCGGACTGCATATTCGTAGAACACGTAAAAGCAGTGATGTAGTTAGCTCATTCAGTATGTGGGCAAGAACGTTTTTAGCAGTCTTTCGGATTGTTAACTTATCAAGCAAGGCTGGGGGATGCTTTCCGAACTCATACTGCAAGTATTCCTCCATCTCTTTCTGCTCCTTTATCACGCATGTCGCTCTCATGAATAGCTTCCAGGCCACGGACGGTCACACTGCCACAGTCTGCGTTCATTTGACTTGACGCGGTCTCTCCTCTTCAGTTTCATGTCAACGTAGTTACCACCTGGAATTGAATTTGTGACTTTTTTTACTGAAGCCATTATGGTTGGTCAGCATTTTCTGACTGAGGAGCATCAATGCCAGTTGCGATGGACACCACGCCTTCGATTCCTCTGTAGGAGAAAGGGAATGAGTCCTCAACCAATTCAGAAACGTACCGTAGTCCTTAACATCTTGAACAATGCTGTAGTCGTGGAGATCGCTGTGCTGATCTGAGTGTGAGTGTGAACACCACTAAATCTTCAAGAGCACTGCAGATAGGAACACACCAAGACAGCACATGTACTGGTTTAGCATGGGTGCTTGTAGTTACACCTCGGCCTGGCGACAAATCTCCAGGAGCCTTGAGCATTCGCATAATAACCTGCTCAATATCTGATCGGTGAAATTACCTCTCCATAACTTGTCACTTCTCTTAATTGTGAACTCGCGATCTTTAGTAAATTTCTTCAGCTTATTTTCACTCATAAAAATCTGGGAACTACCTCATCGAATCCAGATACCTTCTGCAACAGCGTACATATGCAATATGTCTGGTTGCATGAAGAATGGGAATCATATTAGAGACAATATACTGATGGAGCTTCCAGTCACCAGAACACCCTGGGCGAATGAAGAGTATCAACACACGTACAGTTGATGAGATAGTTGTGCCACAATTCCCCAATACGACTCTCCTGACAGATCCTCCGCCAGGTCATCCATGATCGGTGTGAGTTGAGTGACCACTGTTTCCTTCAATACGATGTCGGTAGCACACTCAGAAATCAGGAGCAGGTTGACTCCATCCAATCAACCAGGGGTCTCTAACATCACCGTAGTGAGGGCCACGACAGTGAGAAGGTGTGCATGAAGACCCCGTGAGTAAGCATGCCCAGTCATCGTGTGTTCAATGCAGTTCTGGGCACAAACTGCTTTCCAGAGATTCTCGAAACCAGTGACATCCATTATATGACATATTGAACCCATGTAGGACATAATGAGGTGAAATCCTTCGATCAATTTCAGGAGATGCTTGAACTATGTCATCTGCTTTAATATACTGTAGAGTGTAGTCAAATATGACTGTCCTCATGCTTATGTTTTGCCTCTCTAACTGGGTTTGTGCAAACAAAAGAAATGTGTAGATATTACAACCAAACATAGTTGTAGACACCAAATTCATTATCCTTTCATGATTAATAACCAAGTTGCAGCGAATTCAACGTTTTATACATAAAAAGGCTGTAATCTTGCATTTATGTTAATTAGGGCACATTCCATTTCATTTATGGTGGCTTGATTTGCTTCTTTGTGCTCAAAAACATGGGTATAAATACCAAAAAACACCTTTCTATCCCGTATAATAACCAAGATATGATAGAGCATTTTGAAAAACAAATTGACATCTGTTATGGTGAGGCTTCTCTTGGTAATGCCACTGACCTTGTCATGTCATGTATGTCACCTGGTAGTTACTATAGCTTAGATCTTGAAAATTATACTGGTTGCTCTCATTTTTTCACAGATACATTATGTACTCAGTATGAATGTGAGGGAAGGAGGCATATAAAAAAATGTTGATACTCAAAGCTAATGGGCTAAAACATGTGACTATTTGGGAATTCTTAATGGTCAGACGGAATTTTCCTCGTGGGATGCACATACAGTTTGAAGACAGGTAGTCTGCTGTTTGGCTGATGTACCCTGTGTATGGATCAGGATTCTATTTTTGTTTTTTTCATAATTGAGGTACGGTAGATATGTTCATCAAAATTGTTGGGTAACTGGTCTGGGTGACCGACCTACATGATAAATGCAGAGTCTCTGATGAAGGCATGTGTAGTACACGAAAGAGAATTAAGACAAAAGAGAAAAACATCAGGCTTGTGATATGATGAAGCAGTCTTATTTTCGACACACGATGTGCTTTTTATGGTCCAAGGTACACCTGAGTCATGCAAGTGTTTTACCCCGCCTTAAAATCTGTCTCTGGCCGTTATCAAAGTATAAAAGAACTCAGTTTCTTTTTTAACATGAGGTAATTTGGAGGTCTAATTGTTTCATGTTGGCTTTAAATAAATATAATGTAACTTCGTGGAACATGGTTGCCAACTCGTAACAACTCTGTCTTCATTCTATTAAGGCGCTTGATGTTAACTTACTAGCCACGAGTGTAATATACAGTGGACTAGTGGTAAACTCTGTTTTCATCGCGTACAGGACTTTGCTGTCAACTACTGGATACAGCAAGGAATGCCGAGCACCAAGATAGCGGTGGGTGTACCTTCGTACGGCCGCTGCTGGACGCTTGACGACCTTAGTCAGACAGACTATTACTCCCCAGCGAGCGAGCCAGGAGAACCTGGGCCCTGGACCAACTCTGCAGGCATATGGGCGTACAGTGAGGTACATTTGATGAAGACTTGATTTTCAATTAGTAGATGTAGGTTAGTTAAAGCTTAATTTAAAAAAATATATATCTACATTTGTCATGGCAAGTAGTAGACTACATTGGTTCCAATTGGTTTTGTTTTCCTTGTCACTAAATTATCACCAAAATATTCTCTTAATGCTCAGACAAAATAAACGCACCTCAATATATATACAGGTTTGTAAGCATAGTCAAGAGCTCAAGGAGTTCTGAAGAGGTTGGTCACTCTGTTAATTTAGGTGCAGTGGGATATTTTTATTATAATAAAACACGTCAGAGAAAATTCCCATCTCTTAAAAATATCAACAGCAAAGCAAAAACGGATAATACACAAAGGCGGGCTCTCGGTTTTGTACATATAATCTACAAGTCTCTAAATGTGCACGTGCAGTCAGCCAAAGATGCATCGACCCCCACCCTGGCTCTCGCAATTTTATCTGGCAATACTTAGTAAAATAAGTCTGTATGTAATGGGTATTGTGATCAGTGGATCTATTTTCCGCTGTATCAACGTCAGGATAAATAAAACAATCAAAAGGTAGAATTTCTATTATAATAAACTATTCATTGATATTTTAGATCATTATAATTTTCCAAACGTTCGTATATTTGCTTAGATAATGAAGAACATTTGAAATGAGAATCTTGGGGCAGCAGTCGTTGTAGTTGAGTTGCCAATTCATTAATATTATTTCTTCATTATTTGAGCAAAAAATAATAAAAAATAAAAAATTACTCCATCCTATATGGGCGAAATGCTGAGAAATAAAACTCCAATCCTTATAGCTCTCCTAGGAGAGACCAGTCAAACGAACGGTATGCTAGACAAATGGAAACCAAGGCCCGAATTCAGAACGGTTTGAGGCTTTTGAGCATGGGATTTGAGCTAGGCTCAGGAGTGCGAATCAGGATTCCTCTATCCGAGATTTCCTGCAGTGGATTACCCATATTCAAAACATCGGCTTGAACGCCTGATCGGGTAATCTGTTGCATTTTCTTCAGTTACGAGCAAGGATTCGAGCACTGAAATTCCAGCCAATCACGTTTCATCTACATCATGACGACAGCCAATTATGGCGGCAACTATGACTCGACCAAGTTTTTGCGGAAGAAAATCTCCCTGCACATTTACCTACTTGATCTTCATGGACCTTAAACACGAAAGTGTTGTAACACATTATCATAACTTATTCAGTAACCAGAATCTTTCTTGGAAACTATTCGTTCCGAAGAATCTCAAAGCAATCATCAGCTGATGAATGGGAGGTAGAGGTGAACCATAGCCAACAGGTCTGTCAAGTAGATGCTCCATATCAGAAAATATCAATCTCCTTGCTGAACCTATATTTTTTTAAATTGCGTGTCATCATAAAAATGAAAGGATTCTGCCTGTCTACCATCAGTCTTCTCTAAATTTCAATTTGATGATATCGCTGGAAATTCTGCTCTGTCAAAATTCATGTTGACTTGCTTGAATGATTGACCGCCAAACCTCCAGTTAGATTAACGCGAGGATCGACAATCCGACCTAAGTTCAGGTTTGATTCTTTACGTTATCAAGCCAGCGTTCCAAGATACCAGCAATCTTAATCTTCGCTCCATCCCTGGTTTAAACCTTCATCAGGTTTCAAATCCATTACTAATTAGACCCCAAATGTCCACCAAGCAAAATCTCAGGACTCGAGGAGCAGACTACCACGCAATAATCAGCTTCATCCTAGCTCAAATAAAAGAACATACAAAAACCATGAGGGGCTAAATCCATAAAACCAAAATACCTGGAAAACAGTAGTTATTCAGACTTCCCAGACAGAATTAAATTTTGGCGAAACTAGAGGGAAAGTCGATGACCCTTAATTCATCAAGCCATAAAACTATAAATATTTAAGGTTATAATGATTCCTCTTCCGCCTCGAAATATTACAATCCGAATAAATATGAGAATGTAAATGCCTAACAAGAGACAAGGGCTATAAAAAAAATAAAGTTAGTGATGAATTCAAGAATAATTATGAAAACCACCAAACACAAAACTCATACCATTGATTAAATGGAATTTAAAACCTCATTTCTACCAAGAAAAGTATTAACATCAACATATAACTAAAGACCAACAACACACAACGTCTCCAGACTCTCACAGCAGAAGGAAACCAAACAAGTGGTGATTACATGACAACAAAAAGTGAAGGAACCTTACACCTATCCCGACATCTCTTGTGTTTCAGAACACACCTCAATCACTATCAAGATAGGTCTTATGAATTCATGGTTTTTTAAGATTGACCACCCCCATGTCAAAACCTAAGACTCATCTCACACTGTCCGTGGGTCGACTACTTTATGGTGCAATTCCAATTCCATCTTTTGGGGGCTGGTGTATTGAAAAATAGTTTTATAGCATATTTGCATGATTAAGACATGAAAACAAAACAAAAAACATTAACATTCCGCCATATTGGATATTTGGAAGCCATCTTAGTTTTTGTATCAGAAAACACTAAACAATGAGAATAAAGTGTCTTGTCGTAATTTAAAATAATCACTGGGATGGTTCACACGTAGGACACACAATTGTTACACTAAGATTGTATCTAAGGCTGAAAACGACGGTAGAGAATAAAATAGGAAACGATTATGAGAGAGACTTAGAGTAAGTTAGCTTGACCGTAATGAGAAGAGATCTTGCTGGAGAGGTCCACCACAGGTTGACAACAAGGTAAGGAGAGAAGAGAAGCCAGGGAAACCTGCAGGATTCTGAGCTACCTGAGGTAGCCAACAGCTTATATAACTTCTATATTGGGGCAGCTTACATGGAGGCGGGACTTACGATTCTAAGAAAATGTATGATGGGTTCCGCGGTAGCTCGGTTGGTGTTCAGTGGCTGAAGCACGAGGGAGGCAGTGGAGAATTGCTGACTGTGCCCTCTTTTTACTGGGACTTCTAAAAAGGTTTACCATGCTACAAGGAGACAACAGAAAGGCGAGGGAATGCGTTAAAATATATATATACAGTATATAAACACGCCTCTTTTAGGGAGTGAAAGTTAAAGGCTGCAGGGCTAACTATAACCTCTGTCACCCTCCAGAATCAACCCAGTCACATTTGTGGACAAACAAAGTTGTGCACATAAATATTGATTTCATACACCTCGTTATGTAATTTCAAGTTTTTTTTCGATGGGAGATATTTCAGGATCACTGGTCATGCATGAACGAAATACTGAAGCACACTTTTAGGAATCTCTACTAATCTGCCCTACACCCAGATATGCAGCATTATTCTGATGCAAAACATGATCCAGCTTCAGTTGAAAAATCTCCTTCAGTTATGTTGAATAAAGTACCCCTTCTCAAATTGGTTTGCAACAATGGGACACTGCTCTTGAAACTTTTGTGTGTCATGGATGTATACAGATAACCACTTGTTATAGTTACTGAGGTTGATGCAGAGAAAAAGAAAAAAAAGAAAATGGCACCATGCGACGAAAGCTTTGGAATGTACAGAACAAACTTTCCATTTCGAAGACCAGATAGAAACATCATGGATTAATTCTCAGTTCCAAACACCATCAGCCAAAACTACTGGTAGATGTTCAACCGGCCTTTGACATCCGTCGGGATGTAGATGGGGCTTATCTCTTTTTCATTAGCTACTCTCTATATTCTTTGTATGCTTTTTTCATCAACCTGTAGTAGTAGGCACAGGCACTTAGGAATGGGCGCACTGCCTTCTTGTCTCATGACTTACACCTAGGAAGTAGCCTTCTGTACCCGGTGATGCAACATTGGTTCTAATCTGCTGTCAGATAGCAAATTAATCCATAACCTCGAAGAGCCATTCCGTGTGCAGACCTCCAAACATAAGAGTGGCTTGGCCATATCCTGCTGGTCTCTACCTGATGTTAGCGTGACTACAAAATGTTGGTAAACGTATAACAGAGGTCTACTCTATTTACATTATTCACCGGCCTGATATGCCTCCGTGACATTCGTCAGCTTCAGGTGGTAGATGCGTGATATGCACTCCAGGATATGTCTTCTGCGGCAAGGTCTGGGAGGCTTTGCTCCTGAGTCCAGCCATGTTTGTTGTGCTTGAACTGCAGCTTTGAACAACCGTTCTGTGACAGGCCGAACTGGAGCTGGATGCAAAAGTTCAGGTGGGTCAACAGGCATCTTCATTATGAGTTGAACTTCCCTATAGATCTTTGGCAAAGTGAATGGTTTGCTAACGCAGGTTGCACTCAGCGGTTGGATCTGCTATGAAGGCGTTCAATATTTCTTTTGAACCTGTGACT